TCTAAAATTTGAATTTTTAAATTATCAGACATTGATCAAGGCATACAAAAATATTTCATACAAAAGAAAGAGGAGTTTTAAGCATTTTTGAAAAAAGTTATGAAGAGAAAAGGAAAAAAACCCAATATTAGTATATCCAGGACTACGTTATACACACAAAAAAATAAATTTTGCACGCAAAATTTTTTTTTTCAAAAAATGTTTGTTTGAATACGAAAATCAATTTGCGGTTGAAAAAAACACAAAAAAATTTTTGGGGGCAATTTCAAAAATACTTTGAAAAATTTTTGTCGTCGCCATCAAAAAAATGCTAGTCATACAATTTCCATATATGGAAATTGTTTGACTAGTGTTTTTTGTTTCAGAAAACAAAAACAAAAAAAAGTCAAAGTTTTCAGTTGTAGCAGCCCAAAAAACGCTTAAATGCTTTGCCAGCAGTTGAATTGATTGTTCGAAGCTTTTTTTTCTCAATACTTTCCTAGAAAAAAATGCTAATCATGCAATTTCCATATGTGGAAATTGTATGAGTAGCATTTTTTTCATACCATTTTTTTATGAAGAGATACCAATTTCGATACCAAAACAACTATAAAATACCTTTAAAACTCGATTAAACTGTCTTTGCAAAAATGTATGAAATTTTTATGACTAGAATTTTTCCATAGACTAAGTGTATGAAATTATATGATTAGCATTTTCGGTCTATGGAGGTCAACCCGGGCAGTTGGATATACACTTTGCAATTAACATTTACCTACTATCTGTTTTCCTTATTCAACATGGCACAGCCAGCAGATGAAAAAGTAGGGAAAACCTTTTAAATTTCGTTTCTTTAGTCATGGATTATGATGGATCAGTCATGAATTAGTCATGGATCATGATTGGCTTCTTACAAATATTTTACAGGGCAATAAAATATAATTCACAATTTTTTTCTAACTGGCTCCAGAAGCATATGTTCAAAAAAATCACCTTTGTAGTTCAACTTCTCGGAGAGAGACTTGTCAGATCGTATTTCAAAAGACTAGGAAGATATGAAAATTCTCGTTTGTTCCGATTTGCCGAGAAAGAGACAAGCTTGGGAAAAGACGAACTTCGGCAATCAGACAATTTATCAGAAAATCACAACCCAATAAAACTAAGGACTCCTTAAATTCAGACCCATGAACAATTTTGCCTGTAATCTGTGGAAAAACTATAATGGCTTCAAAACTAATACGTTGACTCGTATTTTGTTACTTTATGCGCGTAACTTTTGATGGTGAGCGCGTAACACAAAATGCTTGTGATTTTCAACATATCCCCCACTCAAAATCAACCTTAATTGAAGTGAGTTTATTGCTGTGTTGATTTTTTTAGGTCGAACAAATTGATTTTCTCGATTGAAAATTTTGACAGTAAAATCGCGCTTTTTTGGCGCGCGCTCGCCCCTCAAATTTAGTATATATTGGCGCCCAAGGCGCTTTTAAAAATTTTTAGGGTTAGTGAGCCAAAAATGGATATCTCAAAAAGTATTAAGGGGGGACCATTTGGGTCGAAATGGGGTCAAATCCCTGAAGTAGGGGGACCTCCGCCCTCCTCAAATCCGCCTCTGATCATACATCAACTGATATTGATTCCTAAGGGATGCAAAACAAACAAAGATCAAAATTTCAGAAACTATATTTGATCCAAATTTTTCTTGCAAAAATTATTCGAAACCAAGTTTCAAAGTAGTCAAAATTCTCAAGATTGTGCCTTGATAGAAAATGATTTTTGAAAATTCTTGATTTTTTGGATTGCATTTTGCCATTTTTTTTAAAACACGAATATTTACGTTTGTTAAAGCTTACATGAATTTTAATGCTTCTTGAATAATGGATATTAAAACTTTCAAAAAATTAATAATAAATCGTATTATAAAAGTTATAAATGTTTCACAAAAACCGGATACAAAAAAAATCCAAAATTTTCCTTTTTTCTCTATTTTTTACAATACACGCTATATAAAAACCAAGTTGATTTGTTTTACACCTGATAACGGGTAAAAAAGACCAAACGATTGCCCCAAATCTGTGTGGACTGATTAATGTTGCCGATTACGCATTTTTATTTGCGAATTGTATTGCGCTTTAATGTCTTACCTCGGCGAAGTAGGGCTTTTTAAGTGCCCATATTTGAACCAAAATGGTTGCAAGTCAGAGGTTTTTGATGTTGCATTCGAAGTAACAACTTTTTCCAGACTTTGCCATAAAATTTCATTGAATTTAACAGATTGAAAAGTATAAAATGTCTAAATTAGGCACATACACCTTGTTGATTAGTCAATATAGCAAGTCGATGCTTCAAAGTCTGCTGCATTTTCCCTGTTGATCTTAATGTGAAATACATTGCTTCAAAGCTAGTTGTTCTGACATTCGGAGAAAATGCAAAAAATTGAAGCCTGGGTGGTTTTTTCATTCTGTCAGTTTTTATTCTTTTAACTGAGCATTTTGACGTAATTTTTATACTAAATGAAAAACATGCTTCAAAGTAAATGCTTCAAAAACTGCTGCATTTTCCCTGTTGATCTTAATGTGAAAAGCTTGCTTCAAAGCTAGTTATTCTGACATTCGGAGAAAATGCAAAAAATTGAAGCCTGGGTGGTTTTTTCATTCTGTCAGTTTTTATTCTTTTAACTGAGCATTTTGACAAAATTTTTATACTAAATGAAAGATATGCTTGAGCTTAAAATCAAAAATACTTTTTGCCTGTTATCCTTTTTTAAAAAGCTACAATGGTTTGAAAACTGCAAACTTAACGAAATTGGGATAACTAACGCGTAAATGGCGGATTAATGCTTTCCATATTCAACCGACGTGAGCAACTTGGTCGTATAAAACAATACCAGACGCCAAATGAACAAATTTTAATTTACATATTGTGTGTGGGATTTTTTAATTGCTTTATCGATTATTCTGTCAAAAAAAAACAGTTTAGTAGTTCTAAAATTTCAAGAAAATTCAGGGAAAAATCAGCAGAAACATTCAGGGTTTTGCCCTGATTATTAAAATAGACTTTTTTTAAATTTTTTTTGTGAATATAGTTAAGGTAAACAAATTCTTTACGTGAAATATAATGACGCCTTAATAACAGAGGCTCAATATATAAAAATCTTTGTACTAGAAAAATTGAATAATTGAAAAATTGAAAAATTGAAAGGGAATAATGATGCTTGGGTGGATTTTTTATTCAGCCAATTTTCAACGTTTTAAACTGGGAATTTTGACGAATCTCTTGTGCCAACTGAAAGATAATGTAGTCTTGAGCACAACATCAAAAACATTTTATTAACTATTATCCTTTTTATTGCTGTTCGGGTTTGAAAACTGCTAACTTGGTCAGTTTAGGATAACTAACGCTCAATTTATTGCGTTTTTATAGCACTCATAATCGGCGGATTATTTTGTTCCTTATATATGTTATTATATTCAATTGAGGCAAGCAATTTAGTCCTATTGAAACAATACGAGACGCTAAGTGAAGCATTTGTAAGTTACACATTGTGTGAGGAATATTTTTTTTTTGCTTTTTTCATTTTGTCGAATTTTTTACCAAACAACAATTCAATTGGCTTTTAATTGTAGTCGAAACATTCAAAGCTTTGCCCTGATTATTGAAATATTTTTTGTTCGCATTTTTTGTTGTACTTATAATTAGGTTGTAATTATTTTTGACGTGAAATATGACGCCTCCATAGCAGATCCTCCACTTTCTGTTTGCGCAATATATAAATATCTTTGTACTAGAAAAATTGAGAAAACGTCAGATTTTTCTAGCCAAGTTTCAATTACACGCATAATTTTCGTTGAATATTCAATATAACAAATAAACGTTTCAAGATCTGTTGCATGTTTCCTTGATGATCTCACTTTCAAAAACATATTTTCAAACCTACTAGTTCCGACAATCGAACAAAGTGCGGTTTTCGCCTTAATACAAAAGCAGTATTGTTTGAAACTTCATGATTGTTCAGAGAAATAGTCTAAAAAACAGGAGAAACAATATTGCTTTTTGGACATGGGATTCATAACATTTGTAAAAATGGAAATGTCATGACAGGTTCATTGACATGAAATTGGTTGACTCGATACATATTTTCACAGATTTTTTTTGAAAAGTTGGCTGTGGAAGTTTGCACATTCTATAGTCGATTGGAACATCTGTCCATAAAATATCAGAAACTATTTTCGTAATTTGTGGCAATCTTGTTTTTAAGTTGATCAAACTTAATCAATTCTTTTGTGGACTGTATATTAACTGCTGAATCATGCGGTTTTCTAGAATATATATATATATATATATATATATATATATATATATATATATATATACATATATATATATGAGTATTGGACGGCACCACTTTTTGTTTTCTAAGAGCCAAAGCTGAAGAATAGTTTGAGTGTAATTGCGGTTTTTCCTAAACTCCTATGTGCGAAATGTTTTTTTTTTGCGTAAAGGATAAACATTTCTACTCTATTGAGTTGACTATCAATTTAAAATCCATCAATTGTTTTAATAGGACCCAGAAACCAAAAGAAAATGTCATGCAAAAACATGAAAATGGTTTACTTAATTGACCGTCGACAGTATTCCGCTTCTTTGAATGAACAAAGCTTTCAGTTCCGACTATCGAAACGGAGAGGAACTTTGAAAAAGTTCTTCAAAAATCAATTCAAGTTATTATGCAAACTTTTTGTATTTACTTGTTCCATCTTTTTGTTTGTTATTCACTTTTCGAAATTCATTTCCATGCGTTAAGTATAATTCTGCCATCACACTATGCACAAAAAACTACCCTTTTTCTGCAGTTCTTTATTCATTGTGTGTTACTTGCTCAGAAACCGGCTATCTTTGTTACATTTCGTCGATAGCAAAGAGCAGCTGTTTGATAGATCATTCTTTAGGCTTTCTGTATTTCAGGAAAAGTTCGATGAATTTTAAAGTGAGTTTTTGATTAGTTTTGTCGGATCTAGATTTTGGGCTAGGAGTTTTACCGTTGAAAAGACCCTGGATAAAAACCATAGTGTAAAACAATTTGTTTTTGACAGCTTTTCTTTGCGTTATTGCTTACGCTGCCCGGGCTGAGGTGTTCAAATTGTGTTTCGACTGACTCGACCCAAACTTGCTGTGTTTCGACCGACTCAACGGACGGAAAAATGTGTTAGATTGTGTTCGAATCAAACGTGCTTTGTTTCGATCATTTCGACCGAAACTTGCTAGATTTCAACGGACTCGACCGAAGGAAAACTGTGCGCAAGTGTGTTCAGCCCTAACGTGCTACTTTGTGTTCGATGATCTACTTAACAAACCCCTTATGGTATCTACTAAAGAGTCTCCATCCCCATAAATAAAAACAGTAAATTACCACAAGAGCTTTGTATTGAGAACTCTAATTTTGCTGCATTCTGTTTGACCAAAAATTCGAACTCTTTAATCTATTTAACAATCCTCCTTCCTGAAAGGGGGAGATTGTTCAATAGATCCGTTCTCGTCTTTGTTTTTGGCTATGTCTCTAAATAGTAGTCGACTATGTTTCGACTATGTTTCGAAATTGTGTTCGACCGAAAGGGCTGCTTTTGACCACGGATTGGGTCGAACAACACCCGTGTGTGCGATCGAATTCGATCGAAACATACAAGTCGAATACCTCAACCCGGGTACTGGAATTGAAATTTTAGGTTATAGCTTGGGTATTCATTGAGCCCCTGATTTTAACAGCAATCAAGCAACAGGAATATAAGGGCAGCATAATAAAAAGGGACAGATAAACTTAAGGGCTGAAGTATTAAATTGAAGTAATTTTTCATTTATGTTTTTAAGGCTTGACTTGTTTTTTTTTACGTTTAAGGATGAATGGAAATTTCTGTCAGTCAAAAGTTAGAAGCAACTTAAAAAGTTACAGTTCATCTTCGAGCATATCCTTCATTACAGCTTTCTTGGCACATATGTAGAATCCTGACTCGGAGCAGGCGTGAGAGACTACTTTGTTATGATGCGCGTCGCCGACAACTAGCGCAGCGCAATTCCCTTCGTCTGTCGGTTCCCCGACATCCCAAAGGTTCGGGGTGCTCTGGTTAACGTCAAACATCGCTGCATTCTGAAAGGCCCATTCATCAGCTACTGAAGCCCTTTGAATTCCGAGGAACGTCGCGGTTTCCGTCTCTGAATGGTTCGAAGGTGCCAGTGCACGAAGAATCGCGAGTTCCAAGGCGTCCCGGGGAAACGCCAATGACGAGTCCTTAGACTGGCAATGAGTCACAGCGGCCGTGTAGTTTTTCTTCTCTTTAGCAACGTAGAAACATGTGTGATAAGCTGAGTGAAGCCAATCATCGTCGCAATTGGAGTTCGGGTTTTCCAGGTGAGTCAAACGCGTGTTTAATTTCTGCAAGTAGTGGATTTCTCCCTCTGTTATTTTTCCGACTAAAAGGGAATTCAAAATGACTCAAAACCAAAAAAATTAAACAGTGCGATGATGCACGAGTCAAACACTATTGGATTTTATCGAAAGCGCAAAGCGGAAATGATTCGCCGCAAGTTTTTGACAAGTGCCGCGCGGGAATTCGAAATGGTCTTTCGTGTCATAACCAAGATGCAGTTTTGGAGGACTTTGTCTGCCTGGTTTTACCAACCCCTTCATGTTTTCGACGTCAAAACACCGGCAACTTCAACTTCGCTCGCATCACTTAGGTATTTGAATGATTAAAAACAAATTTTTTTAAATCATTTCCATGCATTAGGCAAAAATTCAATCGCAGCTAACTGGCATTCATATGCTAGATCGGCTCAAATCACCTACCTTCATCTTGAACATGGTTAGTCTGTCTTAAAGCAGCCACAGCAATCGAGAAAATGATAAGCATTGCCAGAGAATTCAGAAGCAGCCACCCGAGCGCTAAGAACCAAAAGTTCTTTGCAAGCATTGGTGGCAACTTGTTGATCAACGTGTCCCCACCCCCCATGTTGCCATAAAGTCCGTTGTTCGCCGACACTCCCCCCTCTCCTTCCCGATCTGAACTTCGAGAAGGGAGCTCAAAGGTCACGTCGCCTTCAGACGCAGAGGCCATTTTTCAAGGTCACTTGCGGAATTGCGCAATTGCCCAATTGTAGTTTGAGTTTTATGGAAACTGTTGCTCCGTATAATCGAATTAGTTGTAACTTTCGGAATATATCAATTTATAATCAATTTATATATTTTTTTTCTGTAATGACGTTTCTTCAATTGAAAAACAATAAAGCCAAACAAAAATGGTATAAGATGTGATTAACTAGCGCATACAAAATAATTTATAATTGCTAGTTTTATATGTATAATCACTCAAAAAACGTAAGATTTGGTTTCAATCAAATATTTGCCATTTTTGAGCATATACATTGCGACGGTAATTTTATTCAGTTGAAAGCATATTTATCAGGCGGATAGGCGCGCAGTGGTTTTTTTAAACGATACCAATTGTATCAAAAACGTATTGTTTTTGGCTGAGCAAAATGGTGGTTGTTTTTGCTGTGCTCTCTATATTTAATATTGAACGTGAGAGCCATTTCAGATACGAATGATACTGTTAGTTGCTGTTTTTTCTGCCTTTATAGTTGTATAGTTTTTAACGACAAAAAATACTGCCGGAGCTATGGCGTATGTAGAAAACTTCAAATGAAAATTCGCACGAAAAATGACTCAAAATACAAAAAGTATGAGAATATCAGCGACACTATGCTAGTTTCAAAATAGCAGGGCTTTCGCTAATTTTGCATTAACTATATAATTTTCAGAATACTCGGGAATGAATTTTTAATTGGATTTGCACAAAAAGTGCTGGGAATATTTTTTCGCATTAGCGTGAGCAACTGACGGATATAAAGATTAATCAATCACTAATTGCTCAATCAACTACTACAACAATCAAAAACTATTGATCTTTCTAACATGGGTAGATTTAAGGGAGGATGCAAATTTGAACCCCCTCAGTGATTTGACTCCTTCATCACACATAGGGTCCCAAATTATTTAAATAATTCGCTGAAAAATCTGTTCAGCACATTATGTAGACGATTTCACGAATTCTGTTATATGAGACAGTGTTCTCAATTCATGCAGATAAATTAATTGCTTTTTTTTTTTGCTGCGAGACACGCGAAAATGGATCTGGAGCTGTTAATTTACTAAGTGCCATTTTGTGAACATTTTATTTTGATTATCTTTACTAATTTACTTGATCCATTCCCGGCCAATTCACCCTGAAAATTTCTGAAGACGTCTTGGAGGCTAATATATACTAAATTTGAGGGGGGAGCGCGAAAATTTTCAAAGAGGCTCAAGAAAGGATTTTTTGGTCTGTTTTTATCAAAAAATTCCGGCGGCGTCAAAATAGAGTTGAGAGAACTCGAAAATTAATATGGTTGACTCAAAAAAGTCATCAACAATTTCGAATTGTTTCCCAATGAAAATCCGGCCCCCAGAAAAAATAATATATCCGCCCCTTCTTTGTATAATCAGGTTTCAATTCTCAATTCAAATATCAATTATTGGCACTTTCCTGCTTTCCCGTTAGTGCCATCTCCAGCTAATTTGAGCGCCATAATACAAGAAAACCTGCAGGGCATGATGGGTTTATATCTTGTTAGTAGGAGGATGCAGGGGCTAAAACCGGCCTCAGTTTTCGACAAAACATTTCTACAATATAAAAAAATATCCAATTTGGAACCTGATCTAAACTACATTTTATGATTGGATAAATAGGATATTTTACCACTGTAAAGAATTTAATATTAACCAATCATAATCCATCTAACTAATAACCCACTTATTTGTAAGTACTGAAATTACTTGTAATTTCAGCACCAGAGAGATTTGAATTTAACTTAGAAATTAGTTGCCTCTCCAAGAGAACTTCAGCAGCCGCAATAAACCAGTATACCCTAGATCTATTGAGCCTAGCAGACACTAGTTAGACAACCTGAGACTAGAAAGTATAAGAGTAAGATTAGGATCGGTATTAGACTAAGAAGTTGCACGAATCTATCCGGCCGAAAATACGATAGCGTGACGAGCAGACGGTGTACCCTGTCCGAAATTACTCTATGAGTGAACCACATCGGTCATAACTCATCTGGTGCGACCATAAGTCTCGAATAAGACCTTAACAGCTTAAAACCAACCAAAAATAGATTAGAAATTAGACAAAACA